TTGCAACAATAATACAGACAACTTGCATGTGCAAAGTTTGCCAGCTGGGTGTTTTGGCACGTTCAGCAGCAATTCCTATTGGTTTTCGAAAGCCAATAGTGGGAGTAGCACTGTTCATGCAAAAGTTGAAAAAAAAAACATCAAAAAAAGGTGCCAGAACGCCGTTCTGAGTATTCTATGAGGGAAAAAAAAGCCCTGCAGATTAGTTTTCATATATCGAAAAGGAGGACATGAAGGAGGACACTTTTTGAGGGAGGACAGAACTTACAAAAGGAGGACTGTCCTCCCTAAAGGAGGACGGTTGGTCACTTTAAAGAAAATCCACCTGCCTTTTGGAAAAAGCACCTTTGAGACACTAGCTGTAGCCCACGTATCCAGAGATAAATTGCACACTTGCTCAAAGCTTAATCAGGATTTTTGGTTTTTTTGGTAGCAAAGATACAAAGAGTATTTATGCAAATGTCAAAATATTGCACATTGTGTATCAGACTTCTGTGACCTTGTGTCCTATGGAAGTTTTCTCGCGAATTACAGTCCATGCCAGGAATTCTAAGAGCTCTCATTCAAATCATACAGTGTACATCAAATTGGGAAGTACTTGATAATTGTGAAGTTCACCTGTGTACATAGCTTTGAACCCCTTGCAGGGGTAAGCCACCTTGGCTCTTTTATGACTTGTGGACTTCAACTCCCAGCATTCCTTAGCCAGCATGGCTCAGCTTGGAAACCTCTCCCTTTTCCCTCAGCATGGCTGGCTCAGGAATTCTGGGAGTTGAACTCCACGAGTCATAAAAGAGCCAAGGTTGCTTATCCCTGCCTTGGGGCAATGAGCAAATGTAGTTCATAATTAATATGATATTATATTAATTTGTCCTGCTTGTCAGATTTCTGTCATTGTATGAACAACCTTTTTGTACCAACAGAAAACAAAATCAAAATCAACAAAGTTTTTCTATCAACAAAGATGATAAAGGGGCTGGAGGCTAAATCCTATGATGAATGGTTCTTAGTAACCTACTGAAGAGAAGGATTGTGGGGACATGATCATTATCTTCCAGTATTTGAGGGGCTGTCACAGAGGAGAGGCGATTGACTTAATCTCCAAAGCACCAGAGGGCAAGACAAGAAGTAGTGGGTGAACTTTTGTTAAAGAGTAATTTTCTGATGGTGAGAACAATTAATCAACGGAACAGCCTGCCTCCCAGAATTGTGCGTGCTCCATCCCTGGAGGTTTTCAAGAAAAGATTGGACAGCCATTTTCTTGTGATGATATAAGATCTGCTGCCTTGAGCAGGGGGTTGGATAGAAGACCCCCAAGGTCCATTCCCGCCTTATGATTCTATGATTCTATGATTCTAGTTTATAAACTTAGGATCAAGAGTTGACTTTTCTTAGGAACAAGGCCTTGTTAACAATGGTAGCAATTCTTCAGAGTTTTTGCATAGAAAAAGAGTTTTTGTTCTCCCAGTTGTTTCTAATGATGCTGAGAATTGGAACTGAAATCTTTTCCATGCAGAATTGGTTCTCTAACTCTGGTCCAGGGGTCTTCAAACTTGGTCCTTTTATGACTGGTGGACTTCAACTCCCAGAATTCCTTAGTTAGCATGGCTGGCTGAGGAATTCTGGGAGTTGAAGTCCACCAGTCATAAAAGGGCCAAGTTTGAAGACCCCTGCTTTGGTCCAAACCTTTGGCAGCAGACATTAAATCTAGACTTCTGGTGGAATTCTCTTTTCTCTCTAGCACTCTCAGCTGGAGTTGAAAAGCAGTTTTTTAGATTTACATGGTTTTCTCTCGTGGCATTTCACAGCATCTTGAAAATAGCTACTTGTCAACCAGTGGAATTTGCCAGGTCTGCTCAGAAAATCTCCCGATCAACTTTTGTTGTCTGTTGCAAATGATTAGTGCCTCAGTTGGTAAATTGTTAAATTCCAAAGTGAGTCGCTGGCTAATTGAGACCTAGCATTTGATTGCGACCAGTACAAGTTTTCCTACTCGTATAAGCCAGGTTATCCTGCAAGAATGTGTAAACAGATGGAATTGCAAGCAGCTTCAAAGATATTTTCTCCCAGGAAAATCCAGTGCTACAACTTCCTGAATGAGCACAATTAGAATAATATTGTATCACTATTACTGTTTCATTATAATCTACATGCCTCTACTATCACAATGTAGACTATTACAACCATTCATTGAATGATCATTCGAAGTTAGTACAGCACTGAAAAAACAACTTATTACTATTTTTCATGCTTGTGACCTTTGTAGCATCCCCATGGTCACGTAATCAAAATTTGCCCACTTGGCAACTGGTTCATATTTATGACAATTGCAGTGTCTAGGTCCAGGGTAGGCAACCTTGGCTCTTTTATGACTCATGGACTTCAGCTCCCAGAATTCCTGAGCCAGCCATGCTGAGGGGAAAGGGAGAAGTTTCCAAGCTGAGCCATGCTGGCTCAGGAATTCTGGGAGTTGAAGTCCACGAGTCATAAAAGAGCCAAGGTGGCCTACCCCTGGTCTAGGGCACAGCTGTCAAACTCGCCACATCATGTGACATGTTGCGATGTATCTTGACGTTTTTTGCATTGCTGGAGCTGGGGTGGGCATGGTCTCCGTATGATGCAACCAGCCCGTGGGCCAGCAGTTTGACACCCCTGGTCTAGGGTTATGTGATCATCTTTTGTGACCTTTTGACAAACAAAGTCAATGGGGAAGCCAGATTCACTTAACAACCGTGTTACTAACAACAAGTGCAGTGATTCACTTAACAGCTGTGATCCCTGGATGCCACTGATTCTGAAATGAACTTGATCCCAAAGCATTCAGAATTACAGAAGTCCAAAGAATGTACTTTAAATTCAGCCTTAAGTAAGGATGAGCATTTTTTTTCCTGAGAACTCATTTTAAATTCTTCTCTATAATATATATAAAGTAGCTCAGAGTTGCATGGAAAATGAATTTTTAGCCTGAAGGTGAACTGCCACAGGTATCAAATTAATTTAGGTTTAGAGCACATATTTTATTCATTTATTGGCTCCGAAATTGAAGAAAATCATGTTGTGTTACTTGGCAGTTTCCTGAAGTTCAAATCTGGGGAAGTACTAGAAATAGAACTGTAGGTAGCATGGGTTCCTGGCCACTGACATAAGTATCTTGGAGGAGGAGGAGGAGGAGGAGGGGGAGGGGGAGAGAGGGGGGAGGGAGAGGAGGAGTAGGAAGAGAAGGAATAGGAGTAGAAGGAGAAGAAGGAGGAGGAAAAGGGAGTGGAAGAGGGGGGGAGGGAGAGAGAGTGGGAAGAGGAGGAGGGGGAGAAGGAAGAGGAGGAGAAAAAAATGGAATGGATTTTTTCTATTTAATTATTATTATTTTTTCTTTTCTTCTCCTCCTTTTTCTTTTTCTTTTTTGAACTCCCTTTTTTTTATCATAATGATCCCCTCTTGAAGGATTTTTTTTTTTTGAATTTATGGAGCTAAGAGAAAGACCAACAGAAGAAGGAGGTTGAGGAAGCTTCACAGGTATTGGTTCCTGAGTTTGTGGGAGAACCAGGACTTACAAATTTTTTGGAGCGATCTTCAAGGGCAGATTTTAACGCATTTCTTTCGATGCTTATGGGCAAGAGAGACTGATAAGGATTGTGTTTATAGTGGACGTAACCGGTTATTGGACAGAAGATTATGGAGACTGAATGAAAATTTTAGATAAGAAGTTTAAGTAATAGGTTTGGAGTATATTATAATGTCTTCAATGTTTGGGTTTTTTTTAATTATTATTATTATTATTATTATTTTTAAGATGCAATTTGTTATTGGTAAAGATGTATATTACAATGTGTTTAAGATAGTATTTGTTATTGGTAAAGATTTAAATGCGTATAAGGGGATCTTAATGTTTTAAGTTTTAAGTTTTAAGTAATGTTCAAATTTGTGTCTTGGAGGGAGTTTATAAAGAATGATGGAATATAAGTATGACATGAAAAGGTTTAGAGTATATTATAACGTGTTTAATGATTGGATTTTTTTAATTATTATTGTTATTATTATTATTTTTAAGAGAAGGTAATTTGTTTAAAGTTTAAGTATTTAGCTTAAGTATTCAAAGAGTGTTTTGTTTCAATGGTAGAATGAAGGTTTATATGTTTATTTTTTTGTTTTATGATAAAGAAAGAGGGAGAGATTAGATTTATATAGATGTATAGATGTTCAAAGAAAGTAATGTTTAAATTTGTGTCTTGGAGGGAGTTTATACAGAATGATGAATAATATTATAAGTATGATGTTAGAAAATGTTTAGAGTATATTATAATGTGTTTAAGGATTGTAATTATTATTTTTTTTAGAGAAGATAACCTATTTAATTTAAGGTATGTAGATTTGTTTAGGATTTATATGTGTTTTAAGTTTTTTTTTCTTTTTTTTTGAAAAATTTTAACTAAGCCTGTACTCAACTCTGGGAAGGTTGGGGGAGGGTTTGGGAGGTTTGGGGAGGGGGGGGAGGGTATGGGAGGGTGGGGGGGTTTCGGGGAGGGGATTTGTTTTGTAAAATTTAAAAAAATTTCAATAAAAAGAAGAAGAAGAAGAAGAAGAAGAAGAAGAAGAAGAAGAAGAAGAAGAAGAAGAAGAAGAAGAAGAAGAAGAAGAAGAAGAAGAAGAAGAAGAAGATGATGATGATAATGGCTTTCAGATGGACGTCATTCATTGGAGCGTCTCTAACTTAGTCATTCATTGGAGCGTCTCTAACTTAGTCACTTACATTGTCCAGAAATTTGATTGTGCTGGCTAAGAATTCTGAGTGTTAGCATTTTTGATATTTGAGGAAATCTGCTATTAGACTTGGGGTATCGGACATAAGAGTTCTGAGCATTCTAATGTTGGCTTGAAGTTCTAGGAGTTGTATTGTCTTCTAGGAATGTTGTGAGTTGCAATCCCAAGATGTCTAGAGAACATCAGGCATTAGCTACTAGAACTTATTCTTCTTTTCTTGTCTTTTTCCCCCCCACATCCAGGACAACATAAACATTGATGAAGCTGCTCGGTGCTTGGTGAAACACATAATTTCCAGTGACAGTGAACCAGCCCAGCCTATGAATTCAGATGTCATCAACCCTCACCTGAATTCTTCCAAAAGCAATCGCTGCTCAGCTTGCTTTGGAACCTAAGCAATTTCTAAGCTGTTTATGGACATTGGAACTGAGCAGACAAGAACTCATGAATAACGCCATGAAGCAGGATCTCTCCGATGCAAGATGGCTGGGCTTGCATTGCTCTTGAACAAGCAGAAAGCAAATAGAAACCAAGATTAAAAAATGTGTATCCTTCCTCAACATATGGCTGGGAAGGGAAAAAAAACCCCAAATATTTAAAACAAATATTTTGTATTATTCTTTGAGTAGTTTGTTTGAGAATCTTCTGCAAATAGGAGTTATTTACCTGGGCGATTTATGTTAATTACACTTGCTCAGCCAAAGTGCTTTCCTTAAAAGATCAAACTGTTTGTCATTTTCATTGTGTGAGAATTATTCTCTTGAGCAGGGTTCTTCAAACTTAGTCCTTTTATGACTTGTGGACTTCAACTCCCAGAATTCCTCAGCCAGGCACGTCATAAAAGGGCCAAGTTTGAAGACCTTTGCTTTTGAGGATGGCTATGTTTTGCTTTCTGATGGCTATATTTTGCATTTCAGTCCCAATCATGTTTAGGCATCTTGATTTAACGGTGTGTTTCCACAAATCCCTAAGTGGAGAGAAGCTGACATAACCTCAGCATGGTATAAAGTTAAACCTGACATCTTTCTGAATGCATATAGGTAGTCTTCGGCTTACACCACTTTGTTTAATGACCATTCAAAGTCACAATGGCATTAAAGAAAGTGACTTATGACTGCTTTTCACACTTATGATTGTGGTGGCATCCCCATGATCACATGATCAAAATTCAAATGCTTGGCAAATGACTTATATTTATGGCGATTGCAGTGTCCCTAAGACATGTAATCAATTTTTGTTTCATCGGTTGGTTCCAAAAGCTTTCATCTATTAAGGTTTATTTTGATGCTATAATAATAATAATAATAATAATAATAATAATAATAATAATAATAATAATAATAATAATAGTAATAGTAATAAAAGTTGGAAGGGACCTTGGAGGTCATCAAGTCCAACCCCCTGCTCAGGTAGGAAACCCTATACCATTTCAGATAAATGGCTGTCCAGTCTCTTCTTAAAAACTTCCAGTGTTAGAGCATTCACCACTTCTGGAGGCAGGTTGTTCCACTGGTTAATTGTTCTAACTGTCAGGAAGTTTCTCCTTAGTTCTAGGTTGCTTCTCTCCTTTAGATCAGGGGAGTCCAACCTTGGCAACCTTAAGGCCTATGGACCAACTCCCAGAATTCCCCAGCCAGAATTCTGCAACTTGAAGTCCACAAGTCTTAAAAGTTGCCAAGGTTGGACACCCCTACTTTAGATAATAGGTGTTTTTTTTAATGAGATTGAAGAGCATTAAATCAAAGGCCCACAGCCTTTTGGGCACCAGGGACCGATGCTGTGGAAAAAGATTTTTTCCGTGGTTTTGTGTATTGCTTGCATCCTGTGGAGGGGTCTTCGCTTCTTTGTGCAGCCCGGTTGCTGGCATGCTACGGCCCGGTGCTGGTCCACGGACTGGGAGTTGGGGACCCTTGCATTAAATCATGCTTGTAGAAACAGTGCTCTACTGTGGAGCTGTCCATAACTGTTTCATTGTCAGCTAAATATTTCAGCAGATCCTTTGCAATGACCTAGGGGTCTGTTTTACCAATTTGTTGGGCCAAGCAGGAAACATAACCATATGGGCCAATTCTACATCACTGTAAGGCTACATTAACAAAATCTTGCAAATCTGAAAGTACAATTCTCCTAAAGCTCCTTTTCAAAATGGGTTTTGTTTTTTGCTTTTTTTTTTACAAGGTTTTGCTTCTAGTCCAAGAAGCTTCTTCAATTCTGAACTGAAGAAGCTTCTTGGATGAGAAGCGAAATGTTTTCATTTCACGGAGGCCACTTGGAGGTTTATCCAAGTGGCCATTTGCCACTTGGATAAGTATCCACACCCATTTGCACCACTCAGGTGACCTTGAGGACACAGATAAACCTCCAGGTGGCCTCGAGGACTCTCTGAAAGAAGGCAAATGACCAGCTGACTGCAAGGAGTATAAATCCTTCCCTTCCCCACCCATCCAGTCAGAGCTGAAGAAGCTTCTTGGGTGAGAAGCAAAACGTCTTCAAAGAAAAACAAGAAAGTCCAGTTGCCTCCTGAAAAAAGACACCTTTGGGACAACCAAGACCTGGATGACTGACACTCTCCATAGACATTTAGAAGGATCAGACTATTTCTTTACCTGTGAAATTGTCTTCAGCTGGTGAATTGAACTGAATCGAATTGAATTAATTTTTTTATTGGCCAAGTGAGATTGGATACACAAGGAATTTGTCTCCGGTGCATAAGCTTTCAGAGTACATACATACAACAACAAAGTGATAGGTCATATTCCTAAATCATAGTTACAATCATTAATCATAAGATACAAAGCACAAGTGATAAATCGTAAGGTAACAATAGGAGAAGATAGTAGGAAAGATGAGAAGATGAGAAAAAATAAGAAACGAGAAGATGAGACCGGTGATAATAGCAATACAGCCTACTACATGGATAAATTTCTTAGGCCTAAGACAGAAGGCTTATCAAGGCTTATTACGTCTTGGGGGGGGGGCTTATTAATAACTTTAGTACTGAATTCACTGGAACGACATCCAAATCTCTACACCTGCTATATTCACTGGTTTCTTATTTGGAATCTGTAAGCAATTGCACATATATAATAAGTCGGCATTCACAGAGAGATGTTGTGCTTATCTCTGACTGTGTAGAAAGGCAGTGTCAGCTTCTGTTCTCTTAGGGATTCAATGAAGCATACAACGTGACCAGGGCTGTTTAAACCTTTTTGGCAACCGTGCCTACAAAAAGCAACAACAATAATGGAACTGAATATTTTCATGTCAATTTGGAGATACGGATGATGGAGTGGTTTGCAATATTTCTCTAGAGTTTTTTTTAAGGAAGGAAGGGAGGGTAGAATATCTATTTTGTATTGCAGCATGGTGAAGAATGCTGTATTCCAGTAGCACTGCCCAGTATTTTGATGGCTCATTTAGAATAGAATAGAATAGAATAGAATAGAATAGAATAGAATAGAATAGAATAGAATAGAATAGAATAGAATAGAATAGAATAGAAGGGACCTTGGAGATCTTCTAATCCAGCCCCCTGCTCAAGCAGGAGAACCTATGCCATCTCAGACAGGTGATTGTCCAGTCTCTTCTTAAAAATCTCCAGTGATGGAGCACCCATGATTTCTGTAGGCAAGCTATTCCACTAGTTGATTGTCTTCACTGTCAGGAAGTTTCTCCTTAATTCCAGATTGCTTCTCTCTTTGATCAGTTTCCAACCATCAAAGAGAGAAGCAACCTGGAATTAAGGAGAATATTTGGTATTAATGGGCAGACAGAGGGAGAAATAGCATTCTTCAAGTGACCTGAAAACGTCACAGAGAATAAAATTAAAACATATCCCAGAAGTTAAAAAATGTTTTTTTAAAAAAATTCCAAATTTTGGAAAGCCATGTAAATTAAAACATGCTTATCCATAAAAGCAATTTGAAAGTGGAAGCATTTACCAAATGCAGTTTGCCCTCAACGTATGACCACAATTACACTACCTGTAGTGTAATACATTCAGAGTTGAGGAAGGGGGGGGGTCAGAAAGATTGCAGCTTTAATGCCTTCCATCTTGGTTTTTCCTGCTTGTTCATCAGGAGAAAAATATTTGCTTATCTCAGCTGGACATGCAGCGGGCCAGTTTAGTTTCATTTTTTTTCAGTTTGTTCTCCTAAAAAATGTATTACCGCTTTTAAGGATGCAATTTTAGCAGAAGCCCTACCACAGTTTGATAATGCAATTGTACGTGACCTCCAACTCATATTATTATGCTGAAATGACACACCCCAGTTGGTACATATAGAGATGTTCGTTCAATGGACTCAAAACCATAAATCCATTTCCCCTTAGTTGTATTCCTCCTCCTTCCATACCTTCCAATATTTTACAAAATTAAATTGGAGAAAAGGTTAGAAAATTCCAACCTCTGCTCTTGAGGAGGAGGTGGTGCAAATATCCTTAGCTTCGAGTTTTTAAAATATATCCAAGGGAGCAATTTCTGTTTTTAAGTTGCATACAATCAGAATGGAAGACCACTTCATGACTGTGTGAAGGAGGTAAAGGATTCCCCTGTGTGGTTGTGTCCGACTCTAGGGGGCAGTACTCATCTCCATTTCTTAATAGTCCAACCCCCTGCTCAAGCATGATTATATACCGAGAGGCGTGGAATGCTGTTCCCTTCCCACTAAACTGGTACCTATTTATCTACTCGCATTTGCATGCTTTTGAACTGGTAGGTTGGAAGGAACTGAGGCAAGTAAAGGGAGCTCACCCCGCCATGCCACACTTGGCTCTCAGCTTTATGTATATGCCAGTTGGGCATATTTAACAACAGTGACATAAAATCTCCCAATTTTACTTGAACTTCTGTTGTTGTTGTTGTTGTTAGTTGCGAAGTCGCGTCCGACCCATCGCGACCCCATGAACAACGTTCCTCCAGATCTTCCTGTCCTCTACCATCTTCTGGAGTCCATGTAAGCTCACGCCTACTGCTTCAGTGACTCCATCCAGCCACCTCATTCTCTGTCATCCCCTTCTTCTATTGCCCTCTATCTTTCCCAGCATCAGGCTCTTCTCCAGTGAGTCCTTCCTTCTCATTAGGTGGCCAAAGTACTTGAGTTTCAACTTCAGGATCTGGCCTTCTAAAGAGCAGTCAGGGTTGATCTCCTCTAGGACTGACTGGTTTGATCGCCCTTGCCCTATACCAAGGGTCCCCAACCCCCAGGCTATGGCCTGGTACTGGGCTGTAGCCCATTCAGAACTGGGCCGTGCAAGTGGCAGGCACGCATACTTGTTTGCAAAGCCCCATTTGCGCAAGCAGTGGTCACCTGTGCCTGCCACTTGCACAAACAGAGCTATGTGTTGTCATGTGTGTCTGCCACTCACAGAGAACCATTCCCTCCCCCCCCACCAGTCCACAAAGCTGGAAAGGTTGGGGACCGCTACCCTATACCATTTCAGACAAATAGCTGCCCAGTCTATTGTTGAAAGCCTCTGGTGTTGGAGCACGCACAACTTCTAAAGGCAAGCCGTTCCACTGGGTGATTGTTCTCAGCATTAGGAAGTTTCTCCTTAGTTCTAGCTTGCTTCTCACTTGGATTAATTTCCATCCATTGTTTCTTGTCCTGCCTTCTGGTGCTTTGGAAAATAGTTCGGCCCCCTCTTCTTCGTGGCGGCCCCTCAAATATTGGAAGACTGCTATCATGACTCCCCTAGTCCTATGGCAGACAATGTTGCATTCATTGGAACACTGCGCAGGCTAAAAGTGCAGCAAAGGTATGGATATATCATGCAATACGTCTTGTCATCTGCATCTTGGTCTAGCCCAGGCAACCTTGGCTCTTTTATGTAAGGTGACCAACTTTTTTACAATGAGAAGGAGGACACAATAAATTGAAGAAAGCAATATCGTAAATAAAAGAAAAAGAAATTATTGTGCTCACCTGTGTATGGTTGAATATTCACTGAGAAAGAAGTGAGTCTAATGTGTGCATGTGTGCCGTGTCGTGTTTCGGTAAGAAGTAAACAAAGCCACTTGTGCACGGCGCACTCTTGTGCGTGGCGCATTCTCTCAAAACAATGCATCTCATAATTGCATCTTGCCGCACTGTACTGAGCCTTGATGAATCGTCATGTCAAATACAAATACGTCACATCACACACAACGGATCGGATCGGCATCAATCAAATACAGAGATTTACAGATTACTCTTCAAATATCAAAAAGGAGGACATGTAGGAGGACACTTTTTGAGAGAGGACAGAATGTACAAAAGAAGGACTGTCCTCCTTAAAGGAGGAGGATTGGACACCTTATTTTATGACTCGTGGACTTCAATTCCCAGAATTCCTGAGCCAGCATAGCTGGCTGGCATAGCTGGCTCAGGAATTCTGGGAGTTGAAGTCCACGAGTCATAAAA